TGTATGTCTTCGATCTCTTATCCAAAAATCATATCTTTCTCTATTAAAGATAAGATGAAAAATGTGTGAAAAGTTTCTTTCAACCTTCATCTTCACAAGTCTAGAAAATCCTTAACTCTTGATTTCAATTTGAGCTAATAATAATAATAATAATAATAATAATAATAATAATAAATAATGAATGAATGAATAAATCTATACTGTTAAACTATTTGAATCTAAATATTTTCTAAATATAATTCAAACTGAGACATGTTCACCCATAACACTTATTAATTGTGAGTGACTGTCTTATTTTGCTTCACCAACACCTTAAAGTTATTTTTTTAAAAAAAATAATATAATAAGATAGATCATATATATCTTTTATTAGAGTTAAACCTATTTGAGTAAGATCTCTATAAGTATTTAACTCAATTGCATATCTAAAATTATTCAAAATTACTAATTAAGTTTAAAAAAATCTTATAATATCATGCTACTTTTTAGACCCATGGCATGGATCTATCCTAAAGAAATAATAAATTATTACATGAATAAAAAAATAAATAAATACATAACGTGTGACAAAATAAATAATAAATACAACAGCAAAGGCCCGTTTGTGACTTTTCAGATGGCTGGAGGCTTTGTTGGGCTGAATAGACAATATTGAGGATTCATTTTCATTTTGGTCCACAAAATCCCAAACGGGTCGCACAAACTGCAATTTTTTCTTAGTGGTCTAGCAGTTCGTGATGCAATGAGTAAGCTTCTCCCCTGGTACATCTATTTTATTACATAAATCTTATACCAATTTTAAATTATCATATTTATTTATATATATATATATATATATATATATAGTGGAATATAAGTCTCTTCAAATTAAAAAATATTACGATAACATTCTGATAATTAAAAAATATTACGATAATATTCTCTTTTTAACATAAATAAAGAACAAGAGTTACGCTTTGTGTTTCTTACGCTAAGCGAGAGTGATGTGATTTTGAGCGTGATTGAACATTCATGTTCTTTGTTGCTTAGGCGTCAAAGGAGGATAGAAAAAGTGTGAATCCTTTCAGTCTGGTTGTAGTGTATATGATTTCGTTTCTGATGGTAATTGTATTGACTTGAATTGATGTTATATGTCATGAACATGATATTCTGAGTAAGGAAGAATGTTTATGGATATCATGGTGTTCTTATGATATCAATTTGATTGAGGAGCTAACTCATTGAGGTAAGAACCTGTATGTTAAACCTTGGGAAACCCTGACCATTGGGTGTGATGATCATGCATCAAAAAATGATCTCTTGATTTTCTAAAGTGATACAATGTTTCTTTTTTTAATTGAGACTAATGATGTTAAATTATATATATATATATATATATATATATATAAAACAATACATTTATTTATTTTTACTATGTCACATATACATAAAGTGAATGCTGTTAATTTTAATTGAACAAAAAAGATTTATATTACATTATTTAGAAAATTAAAAGGCCAATCAAACCTTTTAATAATAATAAAAGGAATAAATTGAATAAATTAAATAAAATGAGATATCAAAATAGTAATTTAACTTTTTTAAAATATTTAAATTCTATTTAGAGACAAAGATTAAAAAAAAAGAGATTAAAATTAGGAATTGCAAAATGGACCCTATACCGATTAAGCATTCTAGTTTCCCAACTCATTTCACTTAATCATCCAACCTATCGGCCTGTCTAATTAAGTTTATATAAATCACAACATATTTATTATAAGAGTAATTTGTAATTTATTGTGAAACAAATATATTGTGTATTTGATTTATTTTAGTATATCTAATTTCAAAATTTTTGTACAATAAATCTATTGAAAACGTTGTTATTATTATTATTATTATTTCATTACATAGAAAATTTAAAATTTGTTGAACAACAAATCAAAGCAAATATGTTGAATTTGATATTTATTTTATAATTTAGATGCATTAATTTATGTGGATCTTTTAAATATTGAGAAATAAATTTGTTGAAAAAGATACTTAAAATAAATACGTAAACTTTCTTTTTTTTTTTTTACGGCCAACTCACCCTTAGACAATTTGAGTTAAGATGTTCGATTTATTCTCACTTGACGAGACAAACCTAAATTAGTTAAATTGACATATTTTATCATTCCAAATTAAAATAGATTGATCAACTAAATTTTAGTTAGTTAAATGATTAATATATAAACATCACTCTCAAAGGACGTATGTATTTAATTAATTAAAATATGACTAAAATATTTTTTTTATATTTTTATTAAATTGATTCAACCTATTCCTTAATATATATTTTTTAAAAGTGGAGTATCAAATTTGTTTTTTTTTTTTTTCAATTGAGAAAAATGATATCATCCTCTTATCGTACACTTGTGAAAGCATTGCATCATTAAAAAAATGAGATGAAATTAAATTAATAAAATAAAAAGAAAAATCCAAAGAGTTGATCGTAAAATTCGTTGACTTGGTTTTGTATGAATTGAAATGTTGTCAAATAATCAACTCAAATTGCATTAACCAAAACTACCATGAGTTGATTCCAAAAATATTTAAATCAAGCCGAATGATCTCAATAGATTCTAATTAGTTTGACATGTATTTTCTTTTAAATTTGAACTAACCAACATGAACTGACCCCAACCCTGTGCTTTTGTTATTTGGAATTTGAGCCATTATCATTCCTATACAATATTAGTTGAATGCATTGGTTTGAGTGCAAAATTTTGTTTGAAATTTGTCTTTGATATGAGATTCTCAAACCTTAGTTGACTATGTTTAGAAGCAAAATCTCTTTGATCAGTGAGTGATAATACATCCATCAGGCAAAAGAATAAAAGTACCCATAAAATACTACACCAAATATCATCCATCACTTTATTAATGTAGCCACTAGTTGATCGAATAGGTGACATTTTCAAGGAGCTTGCTTGGTATCTCAACAAATCAATCATTCAGCATGTGATTGCTTCTACATTGTAATATATATATATATATATAATCAGACAACGAAAGCTTGCTTTTTTTGTAACTCATGAAAGCCCAATATGTAAAGTGAGCTTGTGGATAAATATATATTATATAGAGAAGCGAAACTAGGTAGAAATATATGTGAAAAAATAAACACAAAGCATAAGAGAATTAATTATATTCAACCTCTAGGGTTGGGTGTAGACGCTTCAACATGGTGCTAAGAAATTTGTGGCAATAGGCTTCAACCAACCCACTCTAGATAAGGATTCTTTTCTTTTAAAATGAAAGTCAAGACAAATGGTGACAATTATACCCATATTGCTTGTCATGCATATAATTTGCGTCCATGAATTGAACTGTACTTTTTATTGAGAAAGATATAGTTTTGGGACTTGGAAAAAGTTTTGTATGTATATATCACTTAATTTCATATTATTATACTGGAGTACTAATTTGTCCCTTGTTGTTGTTTACTTATTTATTTGCAGTCATCTTCTTTTATTTTAATTTTATTTAATTTTTAATAAAATTGGTTGATATGATAAACTAAATGACATGATAGAGAGTAAATAGCCCCTAAAAAAACACTGAATATTTGAACTAATTGGAACATATATGTGATTTATATTATAAAAAATAATTAGTTATTATTGTGTTGATGTTAGTTGTGGCTTTATTTTTCATTCTAAACAAATTATTGACTTAAATATTAGAATAAATTAGGATAAAAGATCATATTGTAAATAGGAAAAAGAATATAAAAAACCCAAATCGTACAAAAACATGACGAATGACTGAAAATGTAATTAAGCATAAAAACAACTTACGTGCTGTTCGTGAATTCTTGGAGACATTTGCAAGTTTGAGTTTCCATCTCTTGTAAGACTTTTTTTCTTTCCCTTTTTTATCCTGTCATTTTCCTCTTTGTATATATTTATGCTCATTATTTGTAGTTAGATCTTTTATTTATTTTTTATTGGGAAATAGAACAAACAAAAAGGTGCAAGAGCATGGGCACTACTAGAAAAGTGTCATTTTCTTGTAAAAAAAATATTTGCAGAATTTTTTTTATAAATTTTGCAGAAATTTTTTGCGAATTTATTTACGAAAAATAATTTACAGATATTTTTTACAAATTTTGCTACAATTTTAACGATCATAGAACTTTTTTTTCATGGTAAAAATTTACAGAAAATATTGTAAAAATTTTATTTTGTTTCTTGCATATTTTCTTGCAAAAATAAATTCGCAAGTAATATTTACTAAATGGTAGAAAAATTTTACAGGTAACTTTTCCTGCAGATTTTCCTACAAATTTTAATCCATAAGAAAAATAAAAAAAAATATTTAAATTTATAAGTTTAATATTTTTAAAAAAAACTTCAAGTCCCACATCGATTGAAAATAAAACAATTAAAGAGTATATAAGTTGGGGCAACACTTACCTTATAAGTTGATTTGTATGGTTGAGTGTTAGACTTATAATTTACAATCTTAGAATTTAAAAGATTATGTATCACATGTTGGAGGCATGAAACAAATGCTTCGGATGAATTCATTTTGAGCATTTGAAATTTGAAGAATTATTGATAGAATTTATAGTAATTTCTTTAATTTTTTTCATAAAAAACATTCCTGCAGCGAATTTTAAAATTCGCAAAAATATATTATCCACGATAAAACAGAAGAAGCCCAATGCTTTCTTAGCCCAATCCATTCCTCAACCCACAGATTATTCCTCAGTATATTCTTAGCATATTTTTTGTTATGTTTGTTGTAAATATCAATAACTTCTACATGACATTAGTTGTATATTGTAACAATGTTCCTTTATTTTATTTTTTCCTTGTTGATGCCTTTCACCTTGTACATATATTGTTCACATTGAGATAATCAATACACGAAATATTTCATCATTCTATTATATCCTTGCACATTTGTCCTTTTATCTTTTATGGTATCAGAGCTTTCTCCTGGAGCTCTGCTGATATCCTTTTTCTATTATCATGGCAGCTGCTATTTCGGAACCTGGGTCCCCTCGCAGTGATCACATCTCAGACCCACCTCTTTTTACTGACCCTAGCCAAAATCCATCAAGTCCTTTCTACATACACCCTAGTGAGAACCCGTCATCTGTCTTAGTCTCTCTTGTCCTCTCCGGTAGTAACTACCACTCTTGGTCTCGTTCCTTTCGCATGGCTCTCACTTCCAAAAACAAAATGGGGTTCCTTATTGGCTCTATTCCTATTCCAAGTCCTAATGATCCTTCCTATCCTCCATGGGAGCGTTGCAACACGTTGTTCATGTCATGGCTCATAAATTTTGTCTCTCCTTCGATTGCACAAAGCATAATTTATCTGGACCGTGTTGTTGATGTATGGAATGATTTACCAGAACGTTTTTCTCAAAGTGATCTTTTGCGTATTACAGAGCTCCAGGAGGAAATTTATGCCTTGAAGCAAGGCTCACTCACTATCACAGATTTCTTTACTACTTTAAAGGCATCTTGGGAGGAACTTGATAATTTTCGTCCTTTTCCACCGTGTGATTGTCAAGCCCGTGTTTACCATCAACAAAATTTTATTATCCGATTTCTCAAAGGTCTTGATGATAGATTCAATGTTGTTCGTTCCCAGATTTTACTAATGGATCCTTTACCCTATGTTAACAGAGTCTTTTCCATGGTCATTCAAAATAAACGACAACATGATACTGTTGTTTCTCCTCTAGATGCGCCAAATGACTTTGCTAATAATGTCATTTCCTCTTCAGCAAATGCCACTAATGCACGTTCTTTTCATGGTAAAACTCGCGGTGGTGGACCAAGCGACGGAGGTGGTGGTGGCCAAACTCAACAAGATAGATCTTCAAAAATCTGTGTTTACTGCAAGAGAACAGGGCACACTGTTGATGTTTGCTATAGCAAACATGGTTACCCTCCTGGCCATCCACGATATCTAGGTCATCCACGTTTCTACAACCCCAACAGTGGTTCTTCTTCTGGCGTTTCTTCCTCTACTAACTACACATCCACTGATGACCAACTTTCTCTACTACAAAACCCTATTGAGCAACAACATGGATCAGGTCTTAACTTCACCCAGACCTAATATCAACATTTAATGTCTCTACTCCAACAAGCCATGGGTGGTGCCAATAGCAATGAGCCTCATTCTTCCACTCGGGCCAACCTCATTCAAAATGGCCCAAATTCTTTTTTTGGTCCTAGTGGTAACACGCCTTTTATTTTTTGTAGTGTCACACCACAAACTTCTCATGTCCTCTCTTTTAATTCATTATATAATTCTTCATCTTGGATTGTGGATTCTGGAGCAACTGATCATATTAGTTGCTCTCTCAAATTATGCTGGCATTGTACATTTTGCTCCAAATTTTATAATTTATAATGTGCTTTATGTTCCATATTTTAGCTTTAATATTTTTTCCATTTCAAAATTCCTTTCAAGTCTCAATTACAAATTAACATTTTCGGGTCTTTTATGCCAAATCTAGGAATTGAGCACAATGAAGATGGTTGGTTTGGCTAAGCTTCAACAAGGTCTTTATCATCTAGTCACCCAACAAAACTCCAGTCTCACACCTTATGTTCCTTCTGTCAATCACATCTCTGTTTCTACCATCAACAACCACAATATTTGGCATTTTCGTTTAGGACATTTATCCAACACAAGACTCAATGTTTTACATGAGCAATATCCTTTTATTTCCAAGCATGTTAATGAACCTTGTGATATTTGTCATTTAGCTAAACAAAAGCAATTACCATATTCTGTCAGTACTAGTAAAGCCTAAAAAATATTTGATCTTATTCATATGGATATATGGGGCCCTTTCTCTCAAGTTTCTATCCATGGTCACAAATATTTTCTTACAATTGTCAATGATTTCAGTAGATTTACCTGGGTTGTTTTATTAAAAGCAAAAGCGGAGGTCCAAATTAACATTGAAAATTTGACTTTTATGCCTGACACAATTTGACTCCAAGGTAAAAATTCTTTGTTTTGATAATGGCCCCGAATTTTCCCTGAAAGACTTTTATGCCTCTAAAGGTATTATTCATTTAACAAGTTGTCCTTACACCCCTTGTAACATCCCAAATTTTCTACTAGTATAATAGTTAATTATTGTTTATTTTTATATTTATGGAGGTTATTTTCTTATAGATATTTTAATGGGTTTTATAGAATGTTTTAAAGGTTTTTAATATTTATGAGTATTTTAACAATAAATATTTATGAAAATTATTTTGTAATATTTTGATTTTTAGTAGCCCAGAACGGGCCGTTCTCAAATTGGAACGAGTTATTCCAGACTACTAAAATGGCCTAGAAAGATTAGGTTGGAATGGGTCGTTCCAACACATGATTCACTGAGTAAACTTCAAACCCAGAACGGGTCATTCTGATTTGGGAACAGACCTTCCAAATGTGGCCGTTGTGAGTTGAAACTCATATCCAGAACGGGCCATTCTGATTCTGGAACAGGTCGTTCCAAATGTGAATTTTGGACATGAAGTATGAGTCCAGAACGGCCCGTTCCAGATTTGAAACGGGTCGTTCTGGCAACTACTGAAGCCTATAAATAGAACGTTCTGTCACTCCAAAAGCACATTTTTTACTTTTCACCTATTTTTCTTCTACACTCTCTGAAAACCAACGGAGAACCCAGAGGAGGAGACCAACAAGATCTAGCTTTAGTTTCAGCTCCTGCTTATCGAGGTAAGGGGGGAGTGAGAAACCTCGCTTTGGATGTGAGAATATCTGTTGGGTAGTGGGATTGGCCCCTAATCCTGTGTTTGTTGTATATTTTTTTTGTATGCTCATGTATGAGGAGTTTTCCCCAATTGTATCTGTTTTTGCTATTATTTTCTTATATGTAATTAATTGTATGATCTGAGATCTTTATGGGTTCCTATGGGAAATCCTAAGGGAATGCATTGGTGATTGTAAGAGGAGATGGTTTGAAGAGGTAATTGTATGAGTTAATTGTATTGTTTTAAATGTTTATTGTATGAATTAGAGTGTTCTGTGGGTTCCTGTGGGAACCCTATGAGAAACAGACAAAATATGAATATTTTCTGTTTTACTTTCTGATTGTTCTGATGTATTCCTAGTTGAATGAGATGAATGAATATGTGTTTAATTTCGCAAATAGATGAGTTTTAATATGGATTAAAGTGCTCTATGAGAGTTGTGAATATAATGTGATAATGTGATAATTTGAATATGATGCTGAGATATGATGATGAAATATGATGATAGAATATGATGATGAAATATGATAATGAAATGTGATGATAATAATGTGATATGAGAATGCATAGAGTCTTGATTGACATGCATCATGTGCATAAATGTTTTTAAGGGTACGATATGGAATACACCGCCAGAGAAGGCCCCCTAGTGTAAAAGCTTTGGGGATTAGTCCTTGGGGATAGCTTAGTTTAGAAGTCCTAGTCTAGCCCATTATGTGCATGGGATGTATCTTGCGCGGCTTAGCTATCCCGACGAGACTCTGGTAGTATGTCCTTCTAGTGAGAGTGCGCAGAGGGTGTGACCCGACATGTACTCCTAGACTACTCCTCGTGTATTGTTAGCGGCAATATGCCATGTGATGTTTACTGGCGCCACATGCATGATAATGTGTAATCCGTGTCCATACTTATGCATTTTTAATGTTATATGATAAAGTGATGGTTTATGTCTTGGATGAGTGAGATGTGATATTATTATTAATTTATCTACGTTATACCTGTTTTGTTTGTGTTTGGCTATCTGACGTATATTTTTACACTGTGAGTCAGAGTGAGATGTTTCTCACTCCTTTTTCTTGTGTTGTTTTTTTTTACTGTTATACAGGTGATCATCAGCGTGAGGCTGAGGATGTTGGTGATGAAGCTTAGGCTTCTATATGAGGTTTTGCTCTGATAGGACATGTGACATCGGGGCATAGATAGGATTAGTTTAAGATGTTCTTATTACATTATTTTGGAAAAATCAGTTTTGTTTCTTTGTAATTTTACCGGCATGTTATTTGGATTAAGTTTATGAATGTGAACACTTTACCCTTACGTGATTGGAAATTTGGTTTTTAATGATGAAAAATTTTATTTTTTTTATAATTATTGTATATGTATGTTAGGGTAGAGGGTGTCACACCCCTCAACAAAATGCTAGAGTAGAACGCAAACATCAACATATTCTCAATGTTGCCCGGGCTCTTATGTTTCAATATGAAATTCCCAATAAATTTTGGTCCTATGCCATTAAGCATGTTGTTTTTCTCATAAACCAGGTTCCCTCACCCGTAATACACAATAAAACTCCATTTGAATTACTTTTTAATAACAAACCTAATTTTTCTAGTATCAAGGTTTTTGGATCTCTTTGCTATGCTTCCACCCATATTCCACGACAAAAATTTGACCCACGTTCTAGATGTGGTGTTTTTATTGGTTTTCAAAATGGAACAAAAGGGTACATTATTTTGGATTTAGATTCCAGAGAAATTTTTTTGTCTAGACATGTCATATTTCATGAAGCAATTCTACCATTCAAAAAGCCTAAGCAGCCCAATGATATTGTCTCTAACACCACTCCACCTCTTCCTTCAGAACCATCCATACCTTTTCCTAACAACATTTATTCTCATGTGGACCATATTTCAACACCAAACACGTCACCTTCCCTGCCTTTGCCTAATAAATCACCATTATCATCACCACCCACATCTAATTCGCCTATAACCACCACACCACCCATTCCTCAGCCACGCTGTTCAACTCGCATTCCTCAGCCATCAACTCGGCTTCGTGACTTTGTTTGCAGCACCTTTACTGCTTTGTCAGACCAGCCATCCTCAAAGTGTGAATATCCACTTCAAAAGGTAATTTCTTACTCTCAGTTACCTCCTTCTGATCACAAATTTGTCATGTCTCTTTTCTTTGAAAGTGAACCCTCTACATACAAAGAGGCGATTCACCACCCTTGTTGGATTGAGGCAATGAATGCTGAGATTGAGGCTCTGAATCTAAATTAGACCTGGGATATTGTTGTGCCTCCTCCTAATGTTAAACCCATAGGATGTAAATGGGTATACAAGATCAAGCGCAAAGCTAATGGTAGTATCGAGCGCTACAAAGCGCACTTTGTTGCCAAAGGGTTCTCTCAAATGGAGGGGATTGATTACATGGAGACCTTCTCCCCTGTGGCAAAGATGACTACAATTCGTGTTGTTTTGGCCTTAGCATCAGTCAATCGCTGGCACTTGCAGCAATTAGATGTCAGCAACGCCTTCTTGCATGAAGATTTGACTAAAGATGTTTATATGACTATTCCTCCTGGCATTCATGGCTACTCTAGCTCACATTGCTGTAAACTTCGCAAATCTCTGTATGGACTGAAGCAAGCTAGTCGACGTTGGTATGAGAAACTTTCTCTTCTTCTTTTATCTTGTGGATATCAGCAGGGACTTGCGGATCACAGCCTCTTTTGTTAAAAAACATGGAACTGATTTCACAGCCTTGATAGTGTATATTGATGATATAGTTTTGGCAGGCAATTTTCAGCATGAAATTGATATTGTCAAGCAGATCCTAAATTCAAATTTTCACATAAAGGATTTAGGAAGTCTTAAATATTTCTTGGGTTTAGAAGTCAACGTTTCAAAGCTGGAATTTCAATTTGTCAATAGAAATATTTCTTAGATTTGTTATCAGATTCTGGTATGTTGGGATGCAAACCATCCACCACTTCAATGGATTTTTCACTACGTCTTCATAAAGATTCAAGTGTAGCATTGTCTGATCCCCTCTCTTATAGACGTTTAATTGGTCGATTGTTGTATCTTACAAGCACGCGTCCCGACATTGCTTTTCCTGTCCAACAACTAAGCTAATTCATGTCTAATGCAACTCAAGTTCATTTCTAGGCTGCGATGCGGGTTCCTAAATATCTTAAAGGCAACCCCAGCAAAGGCCTTATGTTTAGGCGTGATTTACCAGTTCATGTTCTGGGTTTTAGCGACGCAGATTGGGCTACCTCCATTGATTCTCGTCGATCTGTTACAGGATATTGCATCTTCATTGGCA